AAGTGAGGGGGGGCACTGCAATCTGCTCTTGGAGCAGTGAGGGGAGGCACTGTGATCTGCTCTTGGGACAGTGAGGCTGGACACGTTGCATCTGGGTGTGGCGTCTGCCAGGGCCGCGACTCAGTGAATTCTAACTCAGAATGTGGGGGGGTGAGTGAGGGGATGCAGGTTTTCCGACGCTGAGCTACCTCACCCAGGGCAGGCAATGGGCCCCAGGGCTCTGGCGCTGCTCAGCCGACCCATGCGCTAGCCCTGGGCAGGCTGTTAGAGCAGCAGAGGCTCCCTGTGCTCCTCTGAAACCCGTAGCCGCTATTGCCTACATCCCCCAGGCAATGGCCACCTGCTACAACAGCCCTCTGTGGCTACTGTCCCTGGCCTTCTGCCAGCCCTTGCAGCATTCTCCAGCCCTGCAGGCCCCCATGGGCTGGGCCAGACAGCGCTGCCAAACTGCAGCACCGCACCGGCCATGGGGAAAGGCCAGAGTGACGCTCACTGCCTCAGGATTGGGGGTGGGAGGTGCTTGGTGCTGACTGACGGCTCCCTGACTCTATGGGGATAGCCTGGCCCCTGGGCCTTACCTGGGGCCGGTCACTCATTCCCACCTTCTGAACCCTCTAACTCCCTCATTCTGCAAACGCCACCTAGTGTCCTCCTGGCTTCCCCGATGCATGGCGGGGGCTGGCCCACTGCACGGGGTGGGTTGCACTAGCATGGCTGTGGGAGTGCTTTGGTCAGGCTCATCCGTTGGTCCCTCAGCACCGACCCAGGGTGGTGATGGGCTACCCAGTACCACGTGTGCATTGCAACACTCCAGCTGCATCCAGAGCCCTGTTTGTGCATACACAGAGTGCCCGGCTTGCACACACGCAGAGCGCCCGACTTGCACACATGCAGAGTGCCCGGTTTGCAAACGTGCAGAACGCCCGGCTTGCACACACACAGAGTGTCCAGTTTGCACACATGCAGAGCGCCCGGCTTGCACACACGCAGAGCGCCCAGCTTGCACACACGCAGAGCGCCCGGCTTGCACACACGCAGAGCGCCCGGCTTGCACACACGCAGAGTGTCCGGCTTGCACACACGCAGAGCGCCCGGCTTGCACACACGCAGAGCGCCCGGCTTGCACACACGCAGAGCGCCCAGCTTGCACACACGCAGAGTGCCCAGTTGGCACACGCACAGAACGCCCGGCTTGCACACACGCAGAGCGCCCGGCTTGCACACACGCAGAGTGTCCAGTTTGCACACATGCAGAGCGCCCGGCTTGCACACACGCAGAGCGCCCGGCTTGCACACACACAGAGCACCTGGCCCCCCTCCAGGAGCTGGCAGTGGTGCCCAGCGAGCATTTCTCCTTCCCACCTGTATGCACTATTACAGCAGCAGAGAATGAGATACAGTGCAGGTCAGCAGTGATCTGCAGGGCCCCTTCCGTAAAGCGCCGCACTGCGTCTGTGGACACAGCGATCCGCTTGAGTGTCTTAAAGTCACCGACCTTAGGAACATAGGGGGCAGGAAATAATACGGTGGAGCAAATTAGCCCTGAC